TTCTTCCATTGTTCCATATTCCATTCGGCGTGCTCCCGGAAAAAACGAAGTCTTTCTCTCCGGTGGCCTACGAGCAATTGTGGCACTCGAGATGGTCGAAAAGCTCCAAGGGCATTCTCTCCTAGTCTTCTTCTCATTGTTCTTTCACTCACTTGAACATTTCGAATCTCACGAAGTTGGTTTCGTGCCTCAACAGCTGTAGTGAACCGATTTTCACACGAACACAAAGCAAAGATAGGAAAATTTATTGAAAATATTGAAATTATATCAAAAATCAGATAATCCCCCATTTCACCGGAAAATATAATGGAATATTAATCGTATTACGATTTGGATACAAGTTTGTTACTTATTAAAAAAAAAACAATTAAAAAGAGTACACTTTATAATAATCTAATATTTTAATTGTAGATCCAATCCTGTCAATTAAGAAAGATCAACAGAGCAATAATTAACACAAATTAGGCTTTGCAATAAAAAAAATTCTCATTGGTTTTATTACCTTAGGCCATATTATGTTTCTGAAAGAACAACTTGTATTCATAGATCGGATAGTGATCGTAAATAGAATAAAAATTGCAATTGTGACACCAAAAATAATACCTATTAACAAACTTGCAATATCATGCCTGTTCTTCACTAGTGAAAAATGCATTCGTCTAGATAAAGTGTTTGTATTTTCTCCGTATCCAAAACATTGTTCAGTATAAATAAAATCAATATCTGTCCATGGCCACTGAAGGTGATGAACATATATAATATGAAGATAATAAGTCTTGCATGGTGAAACGAGGAATTCCATCTTAGTCCTCATGGGTGACAACGCATTTGCATTTTGATTTGTAATCGAGGATAGATGTAGGTGTCTATGAGCCACAGCAACCACTTACCATCAGGTGGACTGTGTGCTCGTTTGTCACCCTATCCTATAAAAAAAAGTCATTATGGAATGGTCTTTTAGGAGCATTAGATGCGCTTGTCAACCAAACTTTTAATTTACAATCATAATAAAGTATGATTTAGATAATAACTTTATATAGTTAAAAGAAATCAACAAAACAAATATTCAGGAAAACTATCGATAGTATCGAAATGTAGTCAAGTCGTATGGGACCGTCAATACATTCGTCACAATATAATATTTTCCCGTAATATTAACACTGCATTGATTATATTCAATGCTCCATTTATTTGTAGTTGGTATTGGTTGGTTGGTATCAAGACTTCTTGTCGGATTTGCTTGAGTATCAGACAGATTAGATGTCAATGTTTACATCCAAACCGTCTTCAGAATTAGTTTTAACAGATATAGCATCGAGACTCCTGGTTTGAGTATTCTGGATGTCCCATAAAATAAGTAAACCAGGATTATTAGATCAATTAAATCGCCTGTAGTTTCTGGGTATTCAGTAATAGTGTTAAACTCATTATTATTAGCTCCTGGACACGGCGCTGAAGAAAATTGTGAGTTTATATGATTGGGGATAAGATCATTGAAAGAAGAAGTGCAGAGATAAGAGGCGCATTTCTTAACAAGAACGTGATGCCGTGGTGAGAAGCACATAAACGTCCAGGTTCAGGTCCACAAAAACTGCTTAAATCCTCCTTTTTTTCCTTAAATATTATCTTTTCTTAGGTCTGATATAATTTGGTGTAATTCGAAAGTTCCTTTTAAAACCTCTTTGTCCTGTATCGTTGAATTTATTTCGTCTTCGTGGATCAAACACTATAATAGACATCGTATCTTTTTTTTAAATATATCATAGGCGTCGTTAGCGTAGGTAATATCTGCCCCATGATTAACTTTTGCATCTAAAATACGCTTCACTCCTGCTAAAGAAAGACCCTGCTGCATAGTTAAGCTCGTAATTTTTCATAAACTTGGAGAATAAGAAAAAAGTATTTTTGCCGGTATTGGCTGGTGGGTCCATTTGGTTAAAAAAGTATGTAAAAAAAAATTAAGATCAGGATTAGGTGAGCTCAGATAGCAGATGGCTGGTAATTAATAGTAGTGATTAGTATGAGGGGTATCTATATAGTTTTATCATCTGGTTGGGTTCTATAAATATATAATTATAAATGAAAATGAAGAGATAAATATACATAAATATTGATAAAATAAAATAAATACAAAAATAAATAAATAAATAAAAGCCTAACGAGATGGAAGCCCTCGGCAGGGGAGACCAAATGGCCGAGAGTTTGGGAGAAAGGGAAAGAAACCGGCGGACGATGCGGGCGGTATCGAGGAGCACCGCCTTCTGCATTTGAACCCGGAGCGGTCCGTCACGGAGTCCCAGTCGCCTCAGCTGACCCGAAAGGCTAACGGGGATTAGCCCATTCGCAGAGATGACTACAGGAATAATTTAAAATTAGTATATTATTAGCATTCCGATATGTAGGCTTGTCTGGGACACCAAAATGCAAAGCATGTGTCACGTTGTACATGTTTGTCTCAGTTTTCAGAGATATCACAAACCCTCTTAAAAAGTGCCTCATTTTCTCTCAGATTTTTTACAGTCCTTAGGTATTGCTGACATTGGTGCACCATATTGAAGAAGTGTTTTTTAAACTGTTGAGATATGGTGATATTGAAGTTTTTTAGAAAAAAATCTTTTACTATCCCATGTTTCTCTACCTTTCCTGTTTTCTTTGTTATTATTTTCATTTTTTTAATGTAATAATGTTCTCTTTTCTTCCACTGTTTCCAAGTTATTTATTTATTTAGGTACTCTTTATTTTACACCAAAATACAAATACAGTTAAATCTAAATTAGAATATGTACAATAGGCGGTCTTGTCACTCTGAAAGTGATTTCTTCCAGACAACCTTTGCGTAGAGAACTGATGCAAACAAAAGTTAAAATAGAGGGGGGCGTACAAAATAATAAGAAAAAATATATAAAAATACATACAAGTAAAGATAAGTGAAAATTATATAAAAAATATCATATAATAGATTAAATGAAAAGAGTACGAGAAAGGAAAAGTAATTTATCTAATAGCGTTCTAAGTAATACGATTTAATAAGACTTGAAAGAGTGAAAAGATTTAGCACGGCAAATGTAAAGAGGTAAAGAGGTCTACAAACGCACAACAGTTACCGTAAAGGATTTCTTAAAAGAAGGAGGAAGAGTGCAAAGGTATAGAGAGAGAAAGATTGACGGAGGATCGAAGGAACCGATTATGGGTAAGGGAAAGTTACTGGAAACTGTTTTTTAAATAATGAGTTATATATTCTTTGAGTTTGTCTTCATTCGCAAAATGCTCTACTTTTCTCGATTTATGCATTCCTGACACTTATTCCACATGCAATCATAGTTATGCGTATCGCATACTAGTTTTTGTAGAGTTCCTTTCAAGTTTGACTTAGCTAATCCTTTTTGTCTTAACTTTTGGCTTTGATACCCAATATTTGCCTCTTTGATACACCAACATGTATTTCTCAATTTAAAGCGCGGTGACAAAACATAATGAGGCCTTTGTTCGTAAAATGTTGTGATTCTCTCTCGCTATCTTTTAAACAAATTGAGAATATTGTCCAACAAGTAAAGTATTTGTTGCATTTGTTTGTTTTTCGTGCGTGTTTATTTTTTCAGCGGTACTGGGACTGACATCGTCTCTCATGTAAAATAATGGATTTCTCCTATTGCTGTTTTGTTAATTTTTCTTTTCCACATTTTTAACCCTTGAATCTTTATAAGGCGTAAGGAACTGAGATAGTTATAGTGAAACTGCCAGTGGTTTATGTTATCGATTAGTGTTAGAAATGAAATTACATAAAAAAAATTATTGTTATTATTTCTATGGTGGGAATTTCTTTCCCTCCGCCAAGGTATACCATAATAACTGTAAAAATTAGAAATAAATAATTAAAAAACAAGTATATTTATAAAAAGGCTTTATTAAAATTATAAAAAAAAAACATCATTGCTTAAGACAATAAGCTTAAAACAAGGCATAATTTTTGACCTCTTTTCATATATTTTATATTTTGGTAGTTTTTATATTTTCGTTCATACGTTGGTAGTGAACAAGGCATATCCTCCTCAACATTATTGAAACTTATTTCATCGGCAACATTACAGACTGCTTTTTGACGAGCTTCAGCCTGCGCGACTTTTTTCCGGACAACTTAGTTCGCCATCGTTGAACGTCTTTTACTACTCGTGAAAACACTTATCAGTTCTCTGGCTAAAATATCGCGGAATTCAAAATGACTGAGTCTTAGTTTACATCTTTGGCTCAAAATAAAGGCGTTAGTAATGCTAAGAAATAAAAAATAAAAAGTAAAAGTAAGAAATAAAAACTTCTAAGCCACCATTTTTTACTTCGTCGTCCAACTGAATTGACAGTTTTTAGTCGATCAAACCGATCCACCTATCTCATTCTTTTGGTGTATTACTTTGTGACAAGGGGTACCGAACGTCTAATTTGGATCCATCTTTTTGCATCCTCGTCACTATGGATTGACAGAGCTTTAGTGAAAGGCGTTTGTCATAAACAACACTTCTTTATTGTCTTGACAAATTATAAAAGCTACATTCTCTTACACACTCCACTTGAAGTTTCCTTTTGGTAGCTTCAACTTCTTACCTGCAGCTCCTTTTACCAGATTAGACAGGTCCGCTCTTTGTCTTCGCACCGTGCCAGTCGCGTATATGCCGTTGGTAAACAAAAAGGCTAAAATTTTGAGGTCACAAAAAATTATGTGAGCATTCTGCATACATTTTGCTATAAGTTTCTGTGTTAATTTCTTTATAACTTTTGCCCCTACTCCTTCTTCAACTGTATTTTCAATCTTACCGGTGTATATGTCAATCTCATACAATTATCTGCTTTGGCTGTCACATCGACACCAAACTTTGTAACCACGGTTGATTGATTTCAAAGGCATGTACTGCTTAAACTATGAACGGCCCTTGAATAATATCATTGACTCGTCTATGGTTTAGACGTGAAATCGACGGCTTTGTCTTGGTAACTTTAATTTATGAGGTTTAGTAAAGGACGAACTTTATGTAACTTGTCGTAAATATATACAATAAAGAAGCTTTCAAAAAAATAAAAGGAACCGGTTTTGTTCTGTTATTGAAGCGTCGCTTTGGCAATACAGGCGTCTTATCAAACTGGAATGTCCAGTTTACTTTTTTCCACTCCCCTTCATCAGCATCAAACTGGTCCGAATCTGAACTCTCGTCATAAATACCGGGCATTAAGGGTCTTTCAGGCGATAAGAACCTGTCAGGCGATAAAGGTCTTTCAGGCGATAAGGTTTTTGTATCAGAATTGGTTGGTAAAACAGGTGGTATAGGGAGTGGCCCAGTTACGCAATTAACCCTGGAAGAACTTGGAGACTGGCTACTATTTATATTGTGTCGTTCAGCTTGCGCTTCTGGGTTATTAGTATCATCATTATCATCTAGTCCTGCCAATATACTTTCAAGTCTAGCTATATTAAATTGTTCTTCTTCCTCTGACTCAACATTGTTGTCTGATAATTTTAAATTATCAGGTAACCCAAATATCTCACCTAAAGCCTCTTCTATCTTTAAATCTTTCAACATTTTTCGACTCATATGTAAAAGAAAATCAATAAACCACAACTAAAAGCAAAAACCGAAAATCCATTACAAAAACCCCTTAGTAACCGATGGGCACAGGGAATTTGCAACCCACCTTAAAAAAATATATTACGAAAGATCAAGAAAATGGATACCTTTCGTTAGTAGCAGATTCGAGAGATTCTCTTCGATTTCATTCCATATTCAAAATATCACCACTCTTCAAGCATGAACGCAACGAACAGAATAATGTCGAATTGTCAGCTGTCACATTTTTATGTTAAATGTTTGAAACTTATGTTGGTAATGTAAAAAAATATGGTGTTTTGGAATATTTATTGAACTTTTTATTTCACTAAGCATGGTGGTAATAATGTTTCCTTTGCCTTAAAAAGGGATAGGTCAGTAGAAAAAATATTAAAAAACCAGGTTTTTTGTATTATTATTTATTTGTTTATCAGGACCCTTTTGAACATTATTCATAAAAATCTAAAAAAAATTAATCACAAGTACACGAAATTTCGGAGGTGTTAACTATTTGACTATAACCCGTTAAAGTAGTACTAGAAGAAGTGCAGCTACAGTCAATAGCCTCTCTTTCTGAGGCAGTATGAAAGTATTTGAAGGTGTGGCATATAAAGCTACTTTGCAGACATCGCAAACGATCCTTGATCGTTTTTGAGTATTTTTCGTGGTGCAAAATCTTCTTAAAGTAAACTTCCCTTGGTTTTCTGGGTAGTGCAGCACAGAAGAGCGTCTGATATCAGCGGGTGCTCTGGAATTTTCACCTTGTTTGTTCCTGAAAATAATACTACTGGTCGTTTTTTGCCTGTGAATCCACATCAAACAAATTCTGTAAGCTCTATGCGTGTGTCGATGTCGATATTTGTCAGTATTAGTTAATATGAATATATTCGTCAAGTGTTATTATAATATTTAAACTAATATATGAATATTACTGATATCTTGATAACGGTTCTATTCATGTAGGTAATAAGTTTATTTCACCAAACAATCTCATTAGTTTTTATACTAATGTACGCTCGGGTTATATGCTTTGATAAATATTAATGTTGTTAATAAATAAATGATATTGTGAGGAATTAGAATGAAAAACAAACAACATTTTTATATAATGTGTATATGAAAATTTTATTTTTTATTCGTGTGTACAAACATAAACGACAGACGAGTTTGTCGGTCATAAATTAGTTCCCCGGATTTTGAGAAAATTCTTTCGCTAGGTACTGAAGTGGCTAGTACACAACAGTGCTGTTTGAATACCTTGCTGAGGTTAGGATACAAAAAAGAATGTTTACGCCACCAATCATTGGGGCTTATATTCCTTGGTAACATTTTATAATTTATAAACCTCTCAACCTCAGCAATAGCTATTGCTGTTGGTGACTCCAGTGTATGAACGTCTTGGATGTCAAAATCCGCCCAAATATCTATGAAATTAAATGGCTTGCTGGTATCTTCTGATATTCCGGTTTCTGTTGACGTAGTCGACGCTGTTGACGTTATTGTTAACTGTGATTCCTGTCTAGCATTTTCTTTATTTATTTCAATAACTGCCATTTCGACCACACTTTTTTGGCTGCTTCGGCTGCTCTTTTATCATGGCCAAATGCCATTTTAAATCTTGTGTCGAGAAATGTAGCTATTCCAAAAGTACCGCATATCTCTATATTACTCAATCTTGTCAGCAAACCGCGCACAATCCTATTTCATACAACTTTAGCATCGGAATGTAGTGTATACCATCGTGTGAAATTTTGTCGCAATTATATATTATTTAATAATCTATTAAATATTATGACAAGACTACCAGTAAGATATTGAACTACCACTAATCGAGACAGTAACTTGCTCTAACTGTTTTAAAACTGTGCATAAATCTGAACACAGTTTCCATTCATCGGCACTAATATTTTCAGGGCAAGTACTGCTAGCGGAGTCTAAAATTGCAAATGTACTTGTTATTGCTTCCTTTAACAATAAAGCTCTTTCTAGCATATAAAAGGTGAAATTCCACCTGGTTGAGACATCTATTATTTATTTTGGTTGTGTTACATTTTTATTTACTTGGTATTGTTACGAGCTTAGGGGTTCGTGACAATAAAAATTGCCGATAGAATTACCTAAATTAACACTTTAATTTTCTTTACACCAATTAAAACTTAAAACACTAATAATTAATCACACTGATTCACTTTAATTTATCGGCCCCATAATAACGCACCAGGCGATCCACATGGACTATCTTAGGAGTCCCTCTTGCACCTTTCTGTAACGGCTCCGCAATGTCTAGGGCTGTCCTATCCCATGGTGCACCAACATTGTACAATTTCGATGCTCCTCTACTACGTGTCTGAGGTCCCCTCACAGCCGCACAACTTGTACATGTACGATACCAATCCTCGACATCGTCACGATAGTGGACCCAGTAAAACTGTTCTCGGATCTTCAGTAGAGTTCGTTTAACTCCCAGATGGACTCCTGAACAACCATTATGGTGCAGCTGTAGAACATTCGGCACTTTAGCTTTAGGGACAACCATTTGCAAACGACATCTGTCTCCTCGACCATTGTCCCATTTACGGCACAGGACTCCATCCTGAATCAGCAAGCTGTCCCATTGGGCCCAATAGCTTCTAGTGGTCGAACTTATCGCTGAGTCGTCGCTCCACTTAGGCTTGGTAGCACGGGCCTTCATCCATTCCAGGAGCGGCTTGATGTCCGGATCTTCCTGCTGTGCATGTCGCAGGCTGCCCTTTCACTCGTTGCTGAGGTGGTCTGTCCTGAGCTTCCTCACGGATACCACTTCCTTACTCTCTTGCCTAGTACAATGTTTGCAATCTTCAGGACAAGGTCTTCTTGCCAATGCATTTGCGTTGCCATTAGATATCCCGCTGCGATGTCTGATAGTAAAGTCGTATTCCTGCTGCTGCTGGGCGGTGATGTTAGCCGCACTTTCCTTCTGAGATGGTTCACCTTCCCTTTCTAGGGTTCGCTTAGGGCAGCTGGATCGAAGATGGCCCCTTTCCCCACAGCCGTAGCACCTAGGGCTGTATCCTTTATTATGGTTGCGAACCGTAACTGCTGCAACTTCCCTAGCGTGCCGGGAACGCTTTTCACACTTACGTTCAATCGATTAAAGCGCGGTGTCTACGGGCGCTACGCAACGACGCCGGTGTCTTTCCGGTTGTCTAGTTTTGCCCACTATTCGACAGTTAAATGAACTGAAAAGTTAGCTAAAAATTCAATTTGATTTGAGCACAAAGCACTCTGACTGGTGTGATAAATACCTACTATCGAATTGTACAATCAATCAATTTAAAATTCCCTTCATACTTTTCCAGGCTTAGGGCTGGCTGAATACGTTTTGAAAAGATTTTACTACTATCGTATTTCAGGCGTATTTAGAAGATCAACTAATTTTATGTACATATTTAATTATTTACATATTTATGGATATATACTATTTATGGATAAGTGTTTTAATGAATATTTTTATTTGCTTTTTTTTATTAATGTATGTACAGACGAATCATGTAAATTACTTTATGAATGAAGATTTTAAAACCCTTTAAATCTCTCTTCAGGTGTATTTACGTTTAGAAACATAATTTGCTCAACTTTGCTTATTCTTAGTCTCGTTCGCCTTTCGTTAATTATTTGACCTGCTTTGGAAAACATCCGTTCGCAAGGAGCGAATGTTGCCAAAATGTTACAATGGGTTACAAATATTTTATTTTAAAATTTAGGTAGACGTATTGTTGTGTTCTCCAGTATTCAAGGGGGCACGCCAAATTACCCATCTGGTCCTTTGTTGGAAGAATTTCATCGGAAAGGTACGTCTTTTAAGGCTTTTGAAACAGGTGTACCTTGCGAAGTACTTGATGCCACCATTTTGTCAAAAATGTTCCAAGGGCTCAAAGAGCTGAGGTCGTCACTGTTGTTGTCGGGGTTAGCGTTACTTTCAGTGACTGTGGAAGCGATAGATACTGTGTTGCGTTCTTTCCCAGCAATTAATGCAGCTACTAATTTTCTGACCTTTCTTTGTTTTTTTTTAAAATCTTTATTGTAGAGGGTTAGATCTACTAGATCAAGTCACCCTTATAGGTACACAATCAAACACATAATCAGACAATGATACATTCACGTAAACAATAATAAAAGATTACCTGTTCTTAATACCTAACAATACAAGTTTATAAAGTTTCCTAGCCTTATCCGACAATGGAAAAGCTAGGATACTATTGTATAATCCAGCACTATTTTTGTCAAAACCTAATTACTTTCTATATGCATCGTTCCGTTCACAGTCCATCATAATATGAATAACATCTTCCACAACTCCACATTTGTCACAATTTGGTGAATTCACTTTTCTCATTACAAACGCAAATTTGTTTAATGGTACATGTCCGGAACGAAGCCTCATTGCTGTAATGATTTCTTGTCTTCCCATATTGCATCCTTCAAACCAAAGGGAGCGGGAAAGATGCGGTTGTATCGTCTTGTACCAAATACCTTTTGACAGTGACCTTTGATCAAAGTATTCGGACCACTCTTTGGTTTTTGTTGCCTCGGATTGGTCCGAAAACCCTTGCATTTTAAAACGGGGATGCATGAAAGTAAACAATGCAAATATGCCACTCATTTGGATTAGTCAAAATCGTTCTCCTAACCCCGATTTCAGCAAAAGCACCATATTGAGCGCGTCTGGTAATAGATCATCTCGATTTTTGAGTCTTTGACAAGCTTCTTTTAGGCATCGTGTCACTATTACTACTGAACTTCCGGTAATATAGTTTTCTCCGCTCGTTGATGCAGTTACCTCTTCAAACGGTTGCAAAACCTGGCATAGCTGCCTAAAAGAGTCCAATCTTCTGGGCTGATTGTTGGCTTTTAAGCATAAAAAAGGTGGAGTTCTACCTAGTATCCACAGCATGGATCAACCGCTTAGGTTCTTGACCTTGGAATCTGATATTTTT